TACTTCTGACTCCATCGCACATGTTCTACTACTCTTACTGCATGTTGCCTTTTTGCCCTTTCTAGGCATTTTTGTTGTCAGAATTTGAAACAGCTAATGAGACACCAACAATAAGTTATATTGTTAAGGTCACGTGATCGGATAATGCTCGAGTAGAAGTCGAGATGATCGTGTACAGATCGGGTAAGAGATGTATACCCGACCAAATTATTTAGATCGTTACACGATTTATTCTCGATCAACTAGATCTTCTACTCGATCGCTTCTCGACCGCTTATCTACTCGATTGCTACTCAATTAGGTAGACCGCTCCGATCACCCCCGATCATGCATGCAGACCGAGCTAGACCGGTACCCGATCGCTTGATCGTGTTTGGTCGGGTTGATCTGATCGGCGGTGAGAACATAGCATTAAGCTGTATTGGTACTTAAGCATGCACTTAAATCATTGAAAAGGTTATAACGACACGTAGTAAATGAGGTATTGGCCATTTTTAGTATAAAAATCAAGAAGGGCGAAATTCTACAAAAGCCACTTTCGCTGTTAATAAGGTCATTTGCATTGTACCTTTGCTTTGGCATGTCCAGAAGTTAGCAGTCCCTTGCGAAAGTTAAGTCAACTAGTACTGTAAAACTGCTTGACACCCTATAGGAATGATGCGACGGTAAATTCAATGTGGCTCACTGCCATGATATGGTTTGAAAACTACCAAAACCACCATACATGTCATGACATAAAAAAGTTTTGGATAGGTCAAAGATTCAGTTTAATTGAACCTGTTGGTTTGAGTCAATTAGCAGAGCAACATCTTTGGCGCCCTCTAGCTCTGCCTTATGCAGCATTCAAACATTATTATTAAAGTATCTGAATCAATATCCCTAAATGCCAGAATACATGTACATGTAGTATGATAAAACTGAGATACCTAAACAAGTAGTATTAAATCTAGCGAATTGGTATGTAAGGGAAAGTCTACAAGACCCACTTTCGTCGTTCTTCGGTCGTTTGCACTGTACCGCTGCGTTTGCTTGATCAGAAGTTATCAGTTCCTTGCGAAAATTAAGGCAACTTGTACTGGTGAACTGCTTTACACCCTATAGGAATTTAATGATGCGACGGTGAATTCATTTATTATTATTATTATTATTATTATTATTATTATTATTATTATTAAACTGCGACCACCAACAGCATGCACTATTGTTATATTGACAACTTAGTGACTGGAAAAATATTCGCGGATATAAAAATACCACTCGATCGGACATTCAATATTAACCACTAAGATTTTACCCAATTTAGGGAGATTTGTTTATAATTATGTTATCTGTCGTACTAAATTTGTTATACGTAAAATTCATGTGCAGTGAAGGGCATTATCGCCTTTAAGCGTTTATTCGCACAGGATTTTCATTAACATTTAGAACGGAATCACGCGGAAACGCTCAAATCTTACAATTCTGCGCGCGTGATTATCATTTTATGTACGTCAAGTATTTGCCGTTTGAAAAGATACGCGATATTTATTTTAAGACTATTTTACAATCATGACAAATTACAGAAATCTTCCGAGCGTGAACGCTTGATATGAACGGACGGAGAAGATGTAGAAATGTCTCGTAAAATCTCGGACGAGTAATTAACACTGAGCGGTCAATTAATCTTGGTTTCACAATTTGACCCCTATGGAAGTGATAGCTGTCTTATTCTTCGCATAAAAAAGTATGAATCCAGGACTGTAAATGCTCAACTTTAAAGTATATATAGGAAGTGCGCTTACTTCGCATTTCCTTACAACCATCGCAGAACATACCCCAGTAGAATTTATTTATTTATTTATTTATTTATTTATTTATTTATTTATTTATTTATTTATTTATTTATTTATTTATTTATTTATTTATTTATTTATTTTTGGGGAGATAAATATATGTATGCAATGTCAAAATATTGTATCAATCGAGATAATTATGAAAAAAATATATTATTTTTTCTTTAAAATCACTATTTTCTTGCACACTGGGATGCATTCCATTTATGGACAACAACAACAACCCTCTTGGAGACTTAAGGGGAAAAAACAATCACATTCCGTACTGTTCCGTATACCGTCCATCATCGGACATGTTATAAATTACCACCGAAATCGTGTCTGCAGGTGCGCTGGCCACATTTTGATAAATATTCTACAAAACAATTAATTTTCGTGTACATTAACGCTATTAAACCGGAGCAAGTGGCGATTTTTATCTCCGCAAACATTAAAGTCGACACTTGTATGAAATGTGTATAAGTCAACGTACAAATTTATGATAGACGTCATAAAACGTGTAAGTAACATCTATTTTATAACGTTAGTACGAGAGATAGCTAATTTTTCATTTATATTTTATCCCTTGCACGTTTTCTCTCATAACATAACTATACGAATATATTTGACTTTTTACCCTTAAGTTTGGGTCTTTGT